AGCTGAGAAGCATCAGATATTTTCTGATCAAGAAAAACATTAAAAGCATGTTGTATGTAGTTATGAATACGCAAAAAAAGTATATATATATAAAAAAAAAAAAAGAGGTCAGTAAGATCTGTTAATGTTTTTGAAAGAGTCTCTTCTGCTCACCAAGGCGGCATTTGATTGAAACAAAATACAGTAAAAACAGTAATATTATGAAATATTATTGCAATTTCAAATAAATGTTTCCTATTTGAATATCTGTTCAAATGTAATTTATTCCTGTGATCAAAGCTGAATTTTCAGCATCATTACTCCAGTCTTCAGTGTCACATGATCCTTCAGAAATCATTCTGATATGCTGATCTGACACACAAGAAACGTTTCTGATTATTATCACTGTTGAAAACAATGTTGAAACTTTTGAACAGTAGTGTATTTAGTTTTAATTCTGTTCAGAATCATTGTGATTCTTCAGAACACGTCCACGCATCATTCTGATTGGCTTTGATTTTGTTGCACAGCATTTTCTCTGTCTGTGCACAGATAAAGTGCTTGTCACTGGAATATTTTCGAAAAAGGAGGAATAGAAAAATGACATGGCAGAGACCCAGACACAGACTAAATTTCCCCTTCCCAACACACAAACACACACACACTCACACACACACACATACTCCTCCATGGCCCAACCGGCCCTCAGACCCAGGCTTCAGGGTCCAGCCTCACTTCCTCAGGAAACAGTAGAGAAGGAAGTGGCTTTGTGTTGAGCTCCACGACCACGTTTTAGACCCGCTCAAGAAGTTCAGGGCTTCTGAGATGAGTCAGAGCGGTGTTGGTGTGCCCTTGAAAACGGGTTAGTTGACCAAAATTCAACATTCTGTTATCATTTACTCACCCTCATGTCAGTCCAAACCTGTACGAGTTTCTTTCTTCTGTTGAACACAAAAGGAGATCTTTTGAAGAACGCTGGGGTGCAAACAACATTGTATGGACAAAAAATACTGAAACCGATTTAGGACAACATTTGTTTGTGTTTTGCAAAAGAAAGAAGGTCGTACAGGTTTGGAAAGATTAATCAAAATAAATTGTGAAATTTGTTAGTATGAAATTGCAAATGGTGTGATGCTCAATTAAATAAATGTATGCACTGCGTGTTTCAGAGTGAAGCGCAGCACTGTGTTCATTTACACGCGAGCAGCTCGTTACCTACCTGTGTTTGCAGCGTTTCCACACAAACTCCATCTCTGTATCTGAGTTTGGGTCACTTTAATGTGCATTTAGGAACGCAACATGAAACATCTTGATAAATAATAATTAATAAGAGTAGCTTTAAGGGCAAAATAAAAGTCTGATGGTTTATCGTTTGTTTGAAAATGAAGAAATTAAGACAGCCTTAAATATTAGTATTGTAATTTTACAGTTGTAATGTAAAATAAAATTATTAGTATTGTTGTTGTTGTAAGTACTACATTTTTTTATTTTAAAGTGAAAAAATATTTTTCTGTTTTTATTTAGTCATTTTTATATATTATTTAGTAACAGTAGTAATAATAATTATTTTATTTTATTTTTATAGGCTTATTGATATAAAATCACAAAATGTTGGCCAACATGGGCAGCCCTACAAACAAGCACAGCAGATTTGGAATTTTTAAATCACATTTTAAATCATGATCACATTTTTTTTTATTTTCAGAAAAATCACAAGTACGTTTTTCCACAAATTGTGCAGGCCTATAATACAGCGTACCCCGTTTGACTTATGTGTCAGGTTTTCTTTAATTATTTGGTACCTTGTGCGAGAAACGTGAACTTTTATTAACTTGTTTGTAAGATTAAAGCATCTTACAATCTTTCACTGCATCAAGTTTGAGTTCACTGATTTCTGAACACCGTCATATTTGGTTGTTTGAAAACTATTTTCAGTTTTCTCTCTTCGATTAGTTTCAGTCCTAATCAAAAGCATTTTTAGGGACTTATACCCTCAGATTGTTGAGAAGTGCAGGTCACACACACATCTGAAACAAGGGCTTTTTATGAGCGCCATGAAGAATGGCATGCAGAATACATGAAGATTAGCTCAATAGAGTTACCGGGTTTTATCAGCGGATGGTCTTTTATGGAGATAGAATTGTTGCTTAATTTCAAATAAATAGATTATGATCCACAAATAAATGTAAAGAGATTAACAAAAATTAAACATATTGACAAATAAATAGAATGGGATCCACAAATAAATCTTAAAGTTTCACAAACATGAATTAAATTCACAAATAAATAATGATATTTGCAAATAAAAAACATATTCACAAATATATATTTATGTCACAAAAACGCTTTACTGGATTCAAACGCGATATGGAAGCGTCATGTTATTTAATATAGAAATAAAAGCGTCAATAAGTAACTGACTTATAAATAACTGAACTCAACCTAATAATAAACATTTGTTTTTGTAATAGGTTAAATTGCCATCACACAACAGCCAACAGCATTTCTCAGTCAAGTTTTTCAGTCAAGCTGATGTATATGCGCTGCTATGTGGATCTAACTATGTATGAAGTTTTTGATATTCTGTGGTGGTCAGTTCACAGCAGTGATAGAAATTAATCTACCAATAAGCTTACATATATATATA